TAAAAGCTCTAGAAGGAGAAAATCGAATCTTCCTCTCATTCCAGCACCCTGCAGAAAAGAAATATGCCTGGGGGAGGTGGAGGGCAGCAGAGCAAAGGGGTTACTGGGCTGGTGGATGGGGAAGTGTGCAGAGTAGATGCAAGTATCCATCTGCTCAGTAACAGATGAAGTTTCACTGGACCAGCCATGATATCCTAAAGCCAAAGCTGGGTAACCTCTGTTTGTGTGAAGAAGAGATTCCTGTTGATGTGAGTGAGGAACAACATTTACATTTTGAAACTGACTTTTTAGTAGATGGGATTTTCTGCTTAATTTCTTTGCTCTTCCCCATGCCAAATCAGTGTCACAAGTACTTGGCTTACTATAAGCAAAGAAAAATGCTTTTAGTTTTAAATTCAGAATTAGTATGTGTTCTGTGAATTTGCCTTGTCTAATTTTGGTTACAGCCCTGAGTTGCTTGACTCATTTGATGAAAAAATAAAGACAGGGAAGAGGAAGAGGTAACAGCTTCAAGCTGCACGAGGGGAGGTTTAGATTGGACATTAGGAACAATTTATTCCCCGAGAGGGTGCTCAGGCATTGGAACAGGCTGCCCAGGGGACTGGTGGAGTCCCCGTCCCTGAAGTGTTCACAAACTATGTAGATGAGGCCCTCACTGACATGGTTTACTGGTGGCCTTGGCAGTGCTGGGGTAATGGTTGGACCTGATGATGTTAAAGGTCTTTTCCAACACAGCTGATTGTATGATTCTAAGAGAAAACAGCTTAATGTGTAATGAATATAGGAAACATCCACCATTTCCCCCTCCCCCACTTTTCTGTCCTATTATGGTGTCATGTAACTGGAATTATTTCATTGAGTATTGTGAAAAGCAGTAAAACATTATCTGCACTTTACAACTCTGTATTAAGTGTTCAAATCAAGACTGTAGGGTTTAACTGGCCTCTTACTTACAAAACTCCATAGTGGTTTACAGGACTACTGTCCCTGCAACTACAGCATAGCAGCTGGCAGCACTGCGGAATGCTCCTGCTCTGTTTCCATAAAACATAACAGGTAAATGCTTGTGGTTCTCAATAGTTATTCCTCTGTATTAATTTAGGATCTGTCTCTGATGGTAGTTAAACTAAGTATTCATAAGGATCTGGATGGGTTCCATTCCCTCAATGAAAGGTAGCTCTTCCCAAATCAATAAAATCAATAAAATTTCTCTGGCTATCTTTTATTGCCAGCTGATCCCATCTTCTCTCTCTTTCCTCTTCCTGCTGCTGGCAAAGTTAGTTGGGAGTTTTATTTAAATGAGGATTTATGCAGTGAATCCATAAGAAGGAATAACTTTTACTGTGGAATCTCACTGAAACTTTTTCATCCCTTCTGGGTTTTGCCCTGTTTTGTTTCCTGATTTGGCTGAGACCAGAGCTGAAACTTTTAATGATCATACCTTTACAATTACAATCCTAGTTAGGAAACACTAGTGTCTTGATCAAAGGGAAGTCTGTAGTCACGACTTCGTAGAACCATAGCAACAGGGTAATTGAAGAGTTCACTGGATCTTGCCAAATTTCTGCTAATCTATGTGGAGCTTTCTAAGGAAGAAATGCAGGCTTTGCTGTGAAGACCTAGGAGGTGTTGGGTTGTCTGCCACACGCACAAGGGCTCAGGCTGCAAAACCACTGACAGCTTTTGGCACCTTAACATGGTTTTGTAGAAACTCCTGTGTGAGTTGCAGCCGCAAGAAGCGAACAGAACAAGTTGGCGCTGGAACAGGGTATGGTGCTGCTGTTCATTAAACGTGCTGCAGCCACTCAGGCTTAACATAAAACTGAAATAATTTCACTAGTTTGTTCAGTTTAACAAGTTACATAAGCAAGAGCTGAGTTACCTTGGGACAGTCACAGAACTTTGGTGCAGCATCTAAAATTAGAGCAGAATTTAATGAATTGATTTTTGTCTCAGAAGGATAAAGGACAACGAGCTGAATGTCACAATTTACCACTGCTACTTGTGATATCTTTTGCTTTCATGTTGGAAAAATAGATTGCATGATAAAATCTGAAATCATTTCTGCCCCATATTGCTTTAATTTGCTCCCATAATGATGGAAGTTATCATCCATAAAGACATTTTTCTTCAAACCTGGGTAGGGGCTATTACTCCTGTAAGACAGGTGTAGCTACTTGCTACCAGCCAGAGGATAGAGAGTCATGACAGAAGCAACCACCTATTTAAAACTGAAGAAGGAAGAGATGCATTGTGTTGCTCATCCTGCTTGACCATCAAGGTTTTCAGGTGTGATGGAACTATTGCATGAGCAGTGGTGAAAGAGTTTTCCATTTAATTCATTGATATCAGAAAAAGTAGAGCGAAAAACTTCAAAAGCCTCCAGGGAGGCAGGAGAGATCTTTTTAAAGACATTTTAAAGCAAAATTTTATAGTTATAATACATAAATGTTTCTTTGTTTCCTCCTTCCTCTGTCCATAACATTCAAATAGACAAGAAGTGGTTTCACCCTGTTGAATGTGAAGAGAGCTGTTTCAGCTCAGCTTCCTCAACAAGAATGCAGAAAACCTGAATGGCTCATAGCTATTTAGGAGAGAGTATTTTGGAGTTATTTGTCAGTCATCTATTTCCAGGGCACAATTATGTTTATCAAAGACTTCAGTGAAACTTTATTAACGCAGTAGCTCTGTTAATGACCTGTAGAATTTTTTTCCCCTGTCGGTTTCAGCTTTTCTTGTGATTGATTTATTATTTACAGAGCCTGGAGTAGTGGTGGGATAAAGGGTGTTATTTAGAAACTAGTTCCAGAAGAAAAGTGTATTTTCTCTTACTAAAACAAACTGCACAGTGCTGTCAGTGGCTGTATTCCAACTGAGGTAGGTTACGAGAAGAAATTTGCCTTGATGTAAAGGTCATTCTCAAATTACGGAATTTGAAACTAAACCCATCCCATCTTTCTTTCGAGGTTCAATTTTCTGTTCTGCATTCCCACCTGTAGACTAAATTCATTTTCCAGATGTTTAAAGTTCCGCTTATTGAAGATGTTCCGCTTCATTTACAGCAATATACAGGCAGTGTGAATGCTTAAAAGACTTCTCGTGAGAGGTTCCTCTAGTAGACTGTGCATAGATTTCACCTCTGGGGACTCATGGGGGCCTAATTTGTGTTAGAAATAGAGACACGTGAAATAAATACCTTTGAAAGGATGAATGTCCCAGAGCAAGTGTTGAAGCATCTAATCTTGAATCACTTCAGATTTGCCTTGACAGAGCCCTAGAATAAAAATAAAATTAAGGAATTGCTCCTTACACTGATGATGACAGAGCATGAGGTCTACATCCCAGAATCTCAGGGGTTTTGCGTATTAGCTTCTTGCTTAGTTTCTTCTTGCAATGTTCATACCAAAGTGAGACCAATCAATAGGCAGTTGGGAAAAATCTTGGTTTTGGTTGTGGTAGAACTTTGCCCATGTAGTCTTCTGCAAAGAAAGCACAGATGTAAAATCTCCTTGCTTGTGCAACTTCTTTGGAAAGAGGAAGGGTCATTTCTCTCCATCAGAGAGAGAGGATACAGAAAGCAATCAACAATCTTCCCAAGAAATAAAGAATAATCAAATGAAACCAAAGAACAATATTTGATTTGTTCCCCCAGACTCTCTTGGAACTGCTGGACACCCCGTCTTACATGACATTTTATCCAAGAGGCATATAATGCCTATAAATTCAAGGATTTCTTCCTATAACTAAGGGGGAAACATTATGCTATATGGAAAAAAGTGTGAAAGAATTGCTTGGCAAACTCCTCCTGTCATTCGATTGATATGTTGAAAAAGTGACACCTGTGCTCCTGAACAGGGAGGTTGTAAAGTAAGGAGGAGGAATCCCAGCTACTAGAAATAGAAAACATGAGAGCCAAACCTTTATTGTGCCCCTTGTCTGGGCTCCTCCATTTTGGGGAATGGCTCTGTGATGGGCAGTGCCTAGCTGAGCGTCCCCTCACCCATCCCATACATGCCAACCTCACCCTCCTAGTCTTATGATGAGCATTGTTACGGTTGGCTAAAATAATTTATCTGACAAAATAAACAAGTTTTGGGTTGGGTTTTGTTTGTTTGGATTTTTTTCTTGGGGGGGGGGGGGGTAATAGTGTTTTTTATTAAGTCAGGAGCCTGAACAGGAATCATTGTTCGTAAAACTTGTTCTGAAGTCCTCTTCTTGGCTTTTTTGTTTATCAGGTAGAACAGGCTGTTACACACATGGCTGTTACCTTGAGGTTTTTCTACATTTACTAATGATGCAGATTTTAAAATCCAAAGAGTAGGCATAATTCAGGCAATGGTAATGCAAGCCTTGACAAAACATTACGTTATCTTATTCCTGAATAATTTTAATTCATGTCTTCAAACTGTAATAATAGTGAACATAGCATTTGGCAGATTTAGCAAGCTAATACCTCAATTCCTTGATGAGAAAAAGGTGCCTTGTTCTGAATGAGTTATAATTATCCTTTCTTCAGTTAAAATTCCACTTGTCTCTATGGTTTGATATGAGGAAAAACTGAGGACTTTCAGTGTGGTTTGTGACTTTCACCTTCACTGTTTGGTTATTAAATGGTGAAAACAGTCAAGAAAAGCCTGTAACATACGGATTTAAGCAGCTGCCTCTGGTTCTTCTTCAGACTTCTTTGCAAGATGAAGTATGAGAATGAGCTGAGCTTGGTGTTTAGCCTCGCTTGGAAAAAGCTGGCTAGCTTTTGTGAGAACATATTTAGTCAGTGTATAAGTTCATTGCTGGAGGTTTCTTCAGGTTTGTTTTCTAACTGGGGGTAAGGCCAGTTAGACCACAGTTGGTAGCGCAGATGTATAATGCAGCCCTTGTGATGAGCAGGAAGCTTGGGAACTACCCAAGCAAAAATGAAATGGAGCTGCTTTACCAGAACTGGTACGGGCACCAATGCCTACAATGCTGCGTGTAAATTATACACACTGCTCCTCTCACAGGTGGATTTGCTGAGTTCTCCAGCTCTTTTCCTGGTCTCTGTGAAGGAAAATCCACGCTCATCCCTACTTGCATTTCTCAACCCTGCCTACCTGTGTCCAACAATGGCCCAACCAGAATCCTGCCTCATCTCTATCTTGGGTGTCAGCGAGATGTTCTCAACAAGGTGAGTGTTCTTGCTGTCACATTGTTTACTTAGATGAGTATATAATCTTCATGTGTCTTTGTCCGTGCTGCTGTGATGCTGCATCATTACAGCTGTGAAAGATTTAAAATAGCTGTAGGTAATAGCTCTCTGTGCATAAGCCATGGAAAGCTATGTGAGAACTAAGGATAAACAGACCATGTAATTAATCCACGTGTCATGTAACATGAAACTTGGTCTCCTTTCTTCATCTTGGAGAAGATTGTATAGTATCTTCTTCCTCAGTTACCTATCAGCCAATCTATCAAATCTGCCATTACAGGAGGTCAGGTACTTCATGTGTATAGCTCTCATGGGTTTGTTTTGGCAGGTCTTGAATGTTAACACAATTATATTAATGGTTACAGCAGGACAAAGGATGATTGTCTCGTTTTTAGTATTTTCTTCAAGTGCTGTAAAAAATAGTGCTTATATATCATGAATTGTATAATGAGGTACTACTGCAAACAAATCTTTGTGCACCTAATAAAATGTTCAGACCTGGACAATCAGCGGGGTCATTTAAAATGAATTTTTATGATAGCACTGCACTAAGAAACTTTTACTGTTTCTAAATACACGTGCATTTAATAATTTCTATTCCTGAAGTACAGCCCAGGATATTTTGGTATACTTAAAATAGTTGGCAAAGTCATTAAATATAGCACTTGTAGGGTGCTGGAATATCAGATGTCTGAAAGATCTTGTCTCAAGTTGCTACAGGTCTATATTCCTATGTATATCCACAGATGTTTGCCTCCGTGAGGAGACCAACTCATGCTGCTTACAATCTGCATCTTGGGTTCCTTCATAAGGGCATTTTTACTACTTCTGCTGCATGTGTCCTCTTGTCTCCCATATTTTCTGCCAGTCTATTCATTAGTTGAATCTCCAACAGCCTTTATAAGCTGGCATGGATGGGGGAGAGGGAAGAAGTGCTTCATCCTAGCATATTGCATTAATTATGTGCAGGCTTATGTGTATGGTTTTTATCCGTGTATAACGCTTAAGACAGGAACTATCCTAATAGTCCTGTAATTGGATCAAATTAATATACTTTGACCATTATCATGTTTTTCACTGTTTTTTTCTGCTTTCACTCCATCCCAAGTCTGGCCATTAATAGGCTATTTTTAGAGTTTTCACAATTGTTTTAAGGGGATTTTTGACACACAAGCAATTATTTAGAAGGTAATCATGCTTTAATAGAGTGCACAGAAAAATATTTTATACGGAGGATAGTCAGCAGTCTTTGTATTTACTTTGTCCTATAAGGTCGTCTGACTGCCAGGTAGCAAGTCAGCAATTCAAACTTGATTCGCTTATGATGGATGTCAAAGCAGCTTATTATTTTTCCAACCACAGAGGTAATTTGTGGTCCCCAGACAAAAGACAGCAGGAACTAATTAATCCAAAAAATAAACCAAAATCCTTTCTTTCAATGGTAGAGTATTAGAAAGATGCTTTTATGCTGTTTGTTTCAATGTGTGAATGGCAAGTGCTACCCAAGGTCACAGTGGGAGTGAAGGGGGAACTTGTTCTCCTCTAGGGCCATGGGTGTCCTACTTCAATTAGGATGTGACTAGAACTCCACTGCTGTGACTCTTAAGTGGTGAATAATCCCAGAGAGATGAAAGAAGCTGTTCCCTTTCCTTGCACTAAATTGGTGCTGATGAATAGGTGTTGGGCACAGGCACAGTATGTGTGCCTCACCAGGAAAGGAATCCAAGTGGTAGCAGCAGTCAGGAGTTCCATTATAGGGCTGGAGGAGGCTAAAACTGCTACTGGTGAGCCCTTAGTGTGTCAGAGTCATCTATGGGAAGAGTTCAGACCTCGTGGTGGCTCTTTTGCCTATTAATCTACAATCTTCATATTATTTCAGCATGTGTCGAGGGATACAGCTGCAGATACTTTAGAATTAATACAAAACCCCCAGGAGTTGGTCCGGTTTGTACTTCCTCACATATCCTTGGCAGTTATGATCCAGGATTACTTTGTTTCCCATTTTGTATGGAAAACCACAAAAACAACAGCATACAATCCACAGTAAGTTCTTACTGTCTAGCATCATCCTTGACAGTCAGTCCTTTGGAAGTTCTTCCATTGACAACTAAAATACCTCTTAGATTTCCTGCCCAATTTAGGACAAACACAGATCTTCTGGTTTCAGATCTGCTTGGGGTTTGTACTTTTTTTCTCTTTGAACAAACACAGGCAATGCTTTAGTCTGAGCAGTCACTTGTTCGCTGCACTGAAGTAGACCTTAGTGTTGGTAGATTTATCTTGCCTCTTGAGTTTCAGTGACTGCCTTTGGAAAATTCAAAATAGCTTCCATCTTCAATAGTGGTAACTTTATTAACTCAAAGAAGCTGTGGGAACAAGTTATGATTTCTACCTCTTAGAATCCACTCGAGTTTTCCCAGCTGTCAGCACCCTTCAATTTCCTAGGTTTAATCAGTTTCTTGGTTCAACTAAAATTTAGCAGTAGCTAGACATGTTAGAAACACAAACAGCAGATCTCTGCTGCTCTCCCTTCAACACGCCTTGCTCCTGGGGATGCCTGGACCCTATGCAGAGGTGTTGGGGAAAGCAAGGAGGATGATTCTTACTACACCAAGTGCCCAGAAATACCAACACATGGTGAGAAAGCTGGGAAGTGAAGAACGTTCAAAAGAGGAGAGCAAGAAGCAAGAGGCAGGGTTAAGTAGCCAAGTTCTGTTTCTGTTAGGACAGTCCAAGAGGTGATAAGTGGTTTAATGGCTTTGCTCTGGTTTAATGGCCTTGCTGGTTTGTTGGCTATTGGGAACAACTTTCTGGTAAAGTTAGAATACGAGGGAGTTTTATTCACATCCGGATTAAAAAAAACCAAACCAACCAAAAAACCTTAAGAAATGTAGTAAGATTCCCAAAACTATTGAGATGTCGTTGAATACGTTGACCTTATTTTTGCCTTCAGATGGTGTGTCTGAGTTCCCATGATTTCTTCCATTGACCAGACATACGATTTCTCTAAAATTAAAATGTCTCACAGATATCTACAGAAAGAACTCATAATCTGCACCACAGTTAAAGCTGATGACTTAAAGATGTGAATTTTTAGCATGGTTTATCAGGATGAGCTTATCTGTTCAGAATCTTTGTAAGCTTATCTATGAGTGCACACATAGGGAAATGCTTTCTTGTTGCAGGACAGTCTGCATTCATGACCTTATTGCCGTTAATACCTCTGATAAAGCAGACAGTGCTTTATTTATGAAGGACATGCAAACACAAATGCTTGGCTTGTCCCCTTTAGCAAAATCAGTGTTTACTTCAGAAAAGCCTTTGGAGATTTTTGTATTTTTGCTTTACTGATTTCTGTCTACTTGATTAATTCTGAAAATATTCCTAATATTTATTTGTAGTGTCAAAATACCAAAATCCTCATAAAAGGTCTTCATAAACATTCCAACAGAGAAGTTTCTTTCAGGTTCTGGGTCTCAGTGTGATATACGGTGATTATTTCAGTGTGATGTATTGCTGGTATCTCAAGAGGGTGTTTACTGTTACAGATCGTGTTGCTCTTTGTGAAAGAGGGGCAAGCTAAATTCTAACCTACATGGGATGGGAGTGACAGTGTCCTTGCTGAAAGGGAGTGTAATTGAAAAATTCTACGTTGTGGTTATGGGCACGAATGAGCCTCCTACTTACATCTCAATGTTTTGTACCAGCATTTAAACTGTAAAACTTTCTGCTTTGCTGCTTACATAACTATTTCTTTTCTTCCAGATCTGGATTTTATTTCCTGGAGCAAAATAACATTTTAGGGTGCCATTAATTTTCGGATTAAACTAGTCATAAAATGTAAATAAACTGACAAAAGAGCATTTACCTTCTTTTCACAAAGTTGTTAGTATTAGGATTTCTGGATCTTCCCCTCATCATAATTCACTTCTTCCTCTTGGGTGCCTTACAATGAAGGTACTGTTATGGTTATTATATTGGAGTGTGTTGCACAGGGTATGACTGATACTTTAGAACAGAAGGAAGCATAACTTCTTTCTTTAGCCTTAGTCTCAAAGACAAGCACTAACACATTTTTGGGTGTTTGTTTGGCTCAGAGATTTCAGACTTGGCATCTGCAGCCTTCTTATTGCCATCTGAATGATCAATTCCACATCAAAAACCTTGCGTAACTGTGGAAGTGTGATGGTTGGCCTGCACAGCCCACCAGCGCTTATACTGTAAAAGAAATAATGAGATTTTCAATTCTTCGTCTGAATTCATGAGCCTTCCCTTAGTGGTACATTCATTACCTCACTCCTTTATACATGGTAATGTTCATGACCTGACCCTGTATGTACTTTTGTACCTGCTGTACCGGTTGTTCCTCACTCACCTTCGAGCAGCAACAGCAGCAGGTGAGCTGGTTTGGGGGAAGTGTTTCACCACAGTCATCTAAAGCAGATATTTATTTTACAGAAGTTAAGGCTGAAGAGCTTGGGATCCTAGAAGGGGAAACCTGTGTAGCCCAGGACAATGAGGCAGAGATGTTGGGGATCAGGGGTCTCCCTCACACACCTAAGATATTGCAGACCTAGTGGTAGCTAGCCCCTTGTGGCTAGAACCCATTCCCAGTACCTTCCCTCTATGGATAATTCCAAATATTCCCCTACTTCCTTACAGTGCTCCTGCTTTTAAACTTGCAGGTCTGTTGGTGCGTGAGAGCTAAGTGTAGTAGAGGAAGGGGCAACAGCGTTGGCTATGAAAGGCAGTCAGGGCTGAAGGGAGCTTGGTGATTGCACTGGCGAGATGTGAAAGAAAGGGGGAAACCTGTGATATATTGGAGGTAACTGTCATCATTGAGAAGCTGAGCTTTACTGGGAGTGTGACCTAGGAAACCAGCAGGGTAAGAAGCAATGAGGCTGAGAACTTGCTTTAACACAGCCCTTTTATTTTATTTTACCACTGCTGCCAGTTCTGTTTCTGATGATTTGCTTTGGGAGTGCCCACACCTTCAGGTACTCCTGAATGTGCTGATGTGAGGGGCTGAAAGTTTGGGGGAACTGCTAATTTTGCTCCAGGCAACAAAGTACAGCTCCATAGCAGGAATTCATGTAAATTCTCTGCTTATGAACATTACTGGCTGGACTTCATGCTCTTTCCTTTGCAAATGACTGATATAGATTCCCTTCTCCCCTTCATTCTCATTGAACATTTAATTCATGCACGCATACACGTGTGTGTGTGTGTGGGTACACCACTTCTATGTCATACACCGTAACATACGTGTTGTGTACTCAACATCACATACTATTCAGGCTGCTCTGATTTGAACAAGATGGATTTCTGTCTTTTCAGCTCATTAGCCATATTCCTGTTTCTCCTCACCAAAGTATCTTTATGCTTGCAGAAAAATACATATGGGGAAGAAGAGACCATTTCTTGACTATGTTTTCATACTGGTAGATCTCCATTTGAAATCTGCAGTGTAAGAATTCATTCTTGCTAATGCTGCCGTGGATTGACATAACTTTTTTTATCTAATTGCTATAAAAGCAAGAGGATTAAAACTAGATTTATTTATTTTTTTGGCTTTTTTAATGTTTCAGTTTAGTTTTTATAGATATCTGGCCAAAAGCTCCACAGTGTTTGCATTCAGTGTAACTGTCCAAGCATCGTATTGCATGTCAGTTACTGCCCAAATCATATCTGAACCAGAGAGATAGTTCAATCAGTATTACTCCAACCTGCTTAAATGATTTGCTGTGTCCAGATGCTGACTTGCAGAAGACTGGATGGTTTTGGTAAAGCCATCTCTGGTTTCCTAATGCATCAGATACCACTTTGCACAACTCTAAATACAATGAGCATGGAAAGGTGCAGAAAACAGTCGTCAGTCTTTTATTTGCAGTCATGAAAATTGACTTAAAAAGACCAGTTGACTCTTACACATTGAGTGTCTGCTTGTTCCTGTGCCAGTCTGTGAGGTGCAAGAGGACTAAAGACTGAAAACGGAAATCTGAGCAACTAAAGTCATAAACCACAAAGTGGTACTCCTGTAAAACTGCAGCGAATGCTGTGTGGAAATGGTCTAATTCAAGGCCTTCAGTTCTTACCCAGCTTTCTCTCAAGGTTTTGAGTGAGTTTTGCATGTTGCCTTAGAAACAAGGAAGTCATAGAGGCTTTTAAGAGGTCACTGCAGGAGGCATCAGTATCATTTCATATTTCTCACCAGTATCTGTGATGGGGCAACATCAGTCTTACTAGATACGGGATCCAGAAAACACGTATCTATCTGGGTCGGCAAATTACACGTGGGAAGTGTTTGGTGTTCTGTTGTCAGCTTGCACAGTCAGAATTTAAACCAAAGTAGCAAAATAGTCTCTTGAAAGTGACACTTTGTAGCAGCAGAAAGTATTCTACCATTATTTCTGTTAACTTCTTTTTGAAAGGCTTTGCATTCCATATGTTATTTGGACACTAAATGTCCCATTAAAAGTTACTTGAAGAATTAAAAGCTGAGTTGTCTGTCTCACAGAAGAATGTTCCTCATACAGCTAGAGCAATTCCAACACGCATTTCAGTTTGGTTTTTAGCTTTGTAATGTGCCAAAGGTACCATTTGACTTCTCTAGGCTTAATCTTTCTCTCTTTCCTAGGAGCTGATGCAGCAGAATGATATTTGCTATGTACTGAATGCCAGCAATACTTGTCCAAAGCCTGATTTTATTCCAGAATCCCATTTCCTGAGAGTGCCTGTGAATGACAGCTTTTGTGAGAAAATTTTGCCTTGGTTGGATAAATCGGTCGACTTTATAGGTGAGAAGAAAGTTTAAATTCTCTAAAACAGTTTTTGGATTCCTTCATGTCTGCCTTGTTGTTTGGGCTGGAGAAGACCTGAATCCTATCTGGGTGGTATGAAAATACTAAGGATCTCCATACATGATTACCATCACTCTACAAGCACAGAGGCAAAGTAACGTAGGGAGATTCTGCCACTGCATGTTCCAGCACTTATGGATGTGCATGTTCAGCACAAAGAGACTTTTTAAGAGCACAGCTCTGCTTTCTGGTAGATGCCTGATACATTTCTGCAGAGAGCAAATTAGAAAATTAGACTTAGAGATCCTGTCTTTACCTTTGAGCAGTGAGCTAGCCAAATCTGAACTGGACAGATTGTTCCATCGTGAATGCTTGCTTTTTACTTGCATGTAAAATTAGAAACAATCACCTTTCCCAGACATCTAAATAAGGTTGTTTATGTGCACACTGAAATGTGGTATGCTGTAACTGCAGTATGTTTCCTGTGTGTAGTCACATGCTTTTTCTATACTCAATGCCATACAGTGCTAGAATAAATAGGTGATTCTTGTTTGAAGCTTCCATGAGATTGCAATTAGCAGTTAATTTGGAAGTTTTGCACAATTTGAAATAACATTGATTTCTTTGCAAACTTTTATCATGGTATAAATGCTGCTGAGTTTTGACACTTGCCAATTTCTTTGCGATATAGAAAAAGCAAAAGCATCAAATGGTCGTGTGTTAGTGCACTGTTTAGCTGGAATCTCTCGCTCTGCCACAATCGCTATTGCATATATCATGAAGAGAATGGATATGTCCTTAGATGAAGCTTACAGGTAAGGAGAAAATTTCCCTTCATACTAATTCTTGTACCTGTTTGCCTGTTCTTTAGGTGAATGATAAAAGGTTACATATATATGTGTATGTACATGATAAAGGTTATATATGTGGAGAGGGGCTTTTTACAAGGGCACGTAGTGAAGGCACAAGGGGAAATGGTTTTAAACTGACAGAGGGTATATTTAGATTAGACATTAGGAAGAAGTTCCTCACTGTGAGGGTGGTGAGGCACTGGCACAGGTTGCCCAGAGGAGCTGTGGCTGCTCCCTCCCTGGCAGTGTTCAAGGCCAGGTTGGACGGGGCTTGGAGCAACCTGACCTAGTGGAAGGTGTCCCTGCCCATGGCAGGGGGTTGGAACTGGATGAGCTTTAAGGTCCCATCCAACCCAGACATTCTGAGTCTGGGATTTTATATGACCAAAGGCAGAAGCAGATGTTGCTTTATCCGGTAGTTCACTGGTATCTGCATGCTGTTGTTTTAAATGTAGGCTTCCTTCATAAAGCAAATGAATAGTGTTGTGCAGACATGATGCAACTAGTATTAACTGCCCATCTGCCAAATGCTAATCTTGGTCCTTGCTCCAAGTAGGCAAATACACGGAATTTAAACTGCTTATTAAATGTGTGTGTATAGATACATACGCACATACAGCTATGGCACACATGTAACAGTATCTTGTAAGTCAGAGAATGGAACGGATGGGGTTAAAGAAAGAGAACTGAGGATATTTATGCTTATAACAAATGCTAGGCTGGCTATTGACTGCAGTTTGGTAATGCTCTCAAAGAACTGACTGCAGGTGAAATGTCTAGGTATTAAGAAAGCTTCTTTGTTGCTAGCAGAGCCAGCCAAAAACTCTGGGAGAAGGTATTTTGAAGTATCAGCTCTTTTTTTTGTGGAGAACCTCTTCCCTCCCTCCTTTTTTAGCCTTTCAGATCCTATTTTTGTCTGTATTTGGATTGTGAACACTTTACAGCATTCTAGGTGGCTTGGATGCAGTTTACCAGGACTTCGGTATTTCATTTAACAAACTGCTTTGTTGTGTTGTACAGAAAATGATGGTTTTCTTTATGATGGGCTGTATAGGCACAGCTGCTGCATCGCTGTGTTATGCAGACGCAATTTGAACAACTGTGTTGAGGCAGGTAGAGGGGGTACCTTCGAAATCACCGGTGTTTGTTGCTGTCGTCTTTAAAACACTGATGAGGACAGAACATTTAAAACTCCCTTGTGGAGCATGATTTTCATGGGGCATTTTCTTTAAAGCTGATGAATTATGTATGCAGTAAAAAGAGTGTATGTAAAGGATAACTGAATTACCCGCTCCCATTGCCTTTAGAAGTTTTCCAGTTTCTTTCTGGAGCCTGCTGACAGTTGGTGTTGTGCAGTCATTTCAACATGTATGGTGAAACAGGTCTGATTAAGAGGCATAGCTGAAAACTGTACACAGGTATAGATAATGTGGATTGAATTAGTGGATGTGGATGGATACTGTGCAAGGTATGAGCTTGAGTCACTGAAGAAACCTGCCTGGTCTCAGATGCAGTGGTCTGGAGGTTAGAGCTGTAGGATACCGAACACTTGTAAAATGCACAGCTTCAGGGAGCTTCTGACGTGCTGCTTCTAAACTCTTCTGTGAAATCTCTGTATGAAATTCCAGTTTGCTTCTTAACCAGAAGTGTGAATCGTGTGCGAAAGATTAATCATCCCAGGCCACCTTCTCTTTGCACTGTACACACTGAGCAACTACTGTGAAATTTATGTGATATTCCTTTGGTATGGCTTAGTGAGAACTGCCTGCAGCACATTTCACTCATTGGTCAGGGACTGTGTGTTGGCAAAGCTTGAATGAAAACTACTTTTCTCTGAGTTAATGAAAGTCATTAGAGAAATGTTTGTCTGACACTCTTACTACAATAAAAAGGTGATGGTGTTACTTGATGTGAGAGAGCTGAGGAAATAAATATTTCCTTTTGTATAATGGCCTATAGAGGGAAATAAACATCAACATGAAATGTTATGTATGTCTGCCAACTGGAAAAGAGTGCATTTTGAAATGACAAAGTTTGCAGTACCTGAAAACTTGGGAGGGGGATCCAGCAGCCTTTCTTGTACCCTTCTCATTTTTTAAAAAGCTAGTTTTACATTTAGGACTGCCCAGTATTTGGATTGAGATGAGGAGAAAGTGGAAGGAACAGAGATAGAGAGGCTGTGAGAACACAGCCCAGAAACTGCAGTGTTGACCAGAAGAATCTTGCTTTAAGTAACCCAATAACAAGCACAACTCGCTTTGACTGGAAAAGAAGTGAACAAAGACTGTATGAATTGTTGTGAGTGATTTGGTTACATTGGAATAAAAGCCCCCAAATTAAATGTAAAGAGCTCAACCTAGAGAATCTCTCCTGAGGAGACTTACTAGTTTTCTCTGACAGTGTTACACCTCATGGTGGAAGCTTCCACTATCAGTTTGTGCAACTTTGATATTCCAGATCATCATGTCAGCTCGACTCTCCCTGCTCATGTTTGCTGTGTGGCAACTTGGGAAACAAATAAACCCAAGTTTTGTTTGATAGTTTTCATGTGCTTACCTGCAGCTTTGCTAGTGTATGCACACATACACAAGTACACCTCTGAATTTTTCACATGCCATTTTTAACGGCTGCACATTCACCTTCTGTGCACATCCCCAGAGAGGCTTTGTTTTTAATATATTTAATTTTACCAGTGATGAATTATATGTGTGTAATGCTAGATTTAACTCCTCAAGGTTGCTTCCCCTGTTAATCCCGAGAGGAGGAAGGAGTTTGGCAGCTTTCTGTTTTGCAGCCTGTAAAAGTACTTACTTAGCTGTACTGCAAATCAGACAGGTAGGAAGTATGCTTTCGTATTTAACTTTGAATGTATGACATGACTTCTAATACTTAAGTCTTTCATACACTTAGAGTTCTGGTTCAGGAAAACATTGTAAGTATGCATTGCACCCTCTCCATATTCAACTGAGTATGTAAGTGCATGCTTAGGTATGCGAGTCAGGATGCTTCCTACAGGGCTCAAAACTAGATGAACTTTGCCAGTGATTTGGCAGTAATGTTGCCCTTCCCTGCTGAACACCTACATGTTTTTGTTTTGATGCTGTACTTGGTTCTTTCTGGTTTTCTGTTTTTGATTATCATATCAGTGGTCAATACCAGCGTGTGGTAGAAACTGGTGGCATTTGCTGTATGAGGTCAGCACATATCAGAGCTCTTTGTCAGGCAAGACAAAGAGAAGCAGGGTAGGAAGCACTCAGTGCAGTTAACAACAGCATGAGAGAGGTGAAAGGAACATGAGATTTCATACCTGTGAATGGTGGGGATGGTGATCTGCTTTTTGTAGTGCAGGAGAGGCCAAGGGCCCTTGGCTTGAGCTCTAAAGCTGTTAATGCAGAACTGGAGGAGCTTTTAACTTCGGTCAGAAACTGAGGGAGCAGAGATCCCACTGGTGAAGCAAAATAAGGAAAATGATTCACTTAAACCTTGCTGTGGCCATCATAAGTAATGTATAGAGACAACTGAGAGCATTCAGCATTATCTTATTTAAAAGCTGCCTTTTTTAAACTCCATTATCAGGTTACTTCTGCTTGATTGAACCTCAGTCCAGGCACCCCCATCAGTTAAGAAGAGGTTATTAACATTCACAGCAATTGCTGTAGGATTGTCTCAGGTCTGAACAGCAGCTCCTTAAGTTAATTCTCAGTTTGTTTGTCCCCTCTTTCCAGGTTTGTGAAAGAAAAAAGGCCAACCATTTCTCCCAACTTCAACTTCCTGGGCCAGCTTTTGGACTTTGAGAAGAAGATCAAGAACCAGAGCAGTCAGCCTGGCCATATCAGTAAGAGGAAACTTCTGCACCTGGAAAAGAGCAGCGAGCATGTGCTGGTCCCAGAAGGGGGGCAGAGCAGCCTCTCCACCGCCAGCCAGCTCTGCATTACCGCTACCTCTGAGATCGTGGAACAGAAGCCCATGGACTGCAGCAACCACTTGTCCCCTCTGGAAGACAGCCCGCTGGTCCAGGGCATAAACGGACTGCACGTCTCCCTGGATAAGGTGGAAGATAACAACCGGCTGAAGCGCTCCTTTTCCTTGGATATCAAATCTGTATCCTACTCGGCAAGTAGCAGCTGTGTGACTGCATCGGTTCAGGGCTTTGCCTCCTCTGAAGACACGCTGGAATACTACAAACACACGACTGCGTTAGAGGGCGGCAGCAAGTTGTGTCAGTTCTCCCCTGTCCAGGAGGTCTCGGAGCAGAGCCCAGAAACCAGCCCTGATAAAGAGGAAGCAAACCCTCCCAAGAAACCCCAGGCCCCCTGGCAGCTGGACAGCCAGAGCAAGCGGCAGCACCTGGGGAGAGCCAGTGGCACTGGCACCACCCAGCGCTCGCTCCTGTACCCCCTCCACCGGAGCGGCAGCGTGGAAGACAACTACCGAACGAACTTCTTGTTTGGTCTCTCCACCAGCCAGCAGCATTTGGCAAAGTCTGCTGTGGGGCTGGGCCTCAAAGGCTGGCACTCGGACATACTGGCTCCTCAGACATCGGCTACGTCCCTTACCAACAGCTGGTATTTTGCAGCGGAGTCCTCACATTTCTACTCTGCCTCTGCCATCTATGGGAACAGCGCTGCTTACTCTACCTACAGCTGCAGTCAGCTGCCCACGGGCTGTGACCAAGCCTGTGCTGTGCGCAGGAGGGCAAAGCAGGGTGATCGCGGTGACTCCAGGCGGAGCTGGCACGAGGAAAGCTCTTTTGAGAAGCAGTTTAAGCGCAGAAGCTGCCAGATGGAGTTTGGGGAGAGCATCATGTCAGACAACAGATCCAGAGAAGAACTGGGCAAAGTAGGCAGTCAGTCGAGCTTTTCGGGCAGCATGGAGATCATTGAAGTGTCTTGAGGGCAGCAGGCTCATGTGACTGTGTTGGAGTTGCTTCCCCCTCCAGGCTGCTCCCCCAGCGTTTGAGTGGTCCCTGTAAATCTGAAAAGAACAAACCGTGCAGAAAGCAGGTGGGGAGGGAAGAAACGCAAGTGAATGCTCCAGCGTGAACACAGGGACTAGATGAGTACAGCAAAGAATTGACAAGTTTGCCCAAGGAGACCAAGAGTACCGCTGGGTTTTCCTCCTCCTCCTTCCTGGAGAAGGGCAGAACATTTCAAAGACCTGTCCCTGACAGAGAAAGCAATGATATGCAATGGATTGCACAGCCTTTCAGTGGCCTTTAAAAAGGAAGCTCTCAGTATCAAACCCTTTCTCTGGTTCCACTGAAACATGCTCCTCCCCATCAAAGCTAGTTTTGTTCTCCCCTCCTCACGCCCCATATCCTCAACCAGTGCACCTTAGCCCTGACACTGAGCCAACCTCTGGAGGGAGACCTTTTTCCTGTAAGAAAGGAGGATGGGAGCGATTCCAAAGGACGTAGGGACTGGTTACAGCACGGCTCGTCTGGACACACGGTTCGGACCATTGTAAATACTGGTGTAACTATTGTTCTAATGGATAGGCTTTAGGTGATTTGCTAGAGAGCTGCTTCAGAGATAAACAAACCCAGTACCTCAAACATTCATATAAACTAGGGCTTTATGGCTGCCAGATGCTGGTGGTCAGTTCATAAGCAATGTGAACAAGTACTGACTGGCCACATTTGATTTTCTTTTCTATTTTGTCTCCAAAAGCTGTCTACGCACAAGTGTTTCAGTTGGTTCACCACAATTCCTAAAATTAGTGATTGAACCATCCTTGCCTATGACTGTTTCCCCCAGTCTTTTGAAACATAAAACAGTATTTGTATTTTTGATATTAAGCTGGCTTCTGGGAGAGGGGCAGCTGCTTTGGCTTTCCAGCTGTAATGGAGTGGTTAATGCTTAGGGTTATGCAGGAGAGAAGTAGCTGGTACAATATTGCAACATCCTTTTCTTGCCCGCTGACAATTCCATAGATGGCTTTTAAAGGCTTTTTTCCTGTTTTTTTGGGTTTTTTTTGAAAGCTGAAATTGCATTGAGGTGGGCTTTTGTCCTTAGTCGAGCAGTACCATTGAGAAACTGCTCTTCATACATGGTCCCAGTTACGCATGGGTTGGGGGCAACGCAGGTGGTTGGTTTTTCCCATCCTAATGTGGATGAGGACTTGGAGATAGAAGCTTCTCTTCAGTTGTGCTGACTTCATCTGAGAAACCTGGCTGCCTGTCCAAGGGAAACAGAAGGGGACTTCCAGCATCCCATCTGTCAGTGTGGGGTGAAGGAGAGGTGGTTTGGGAAGAGACAGCTTCAGACTGCTTACCTCCCACACTAGCAGCTGCAAGGAACTCAGTCCTGGCTCTTGTCCTCCATCCCAGTGCAGGGTCTTGGTTTCCCACTGCACTGATGCTGGCTGGTATCATGCCCTCACCTCCCAAGGAAATACATGGTTCATGCAAGATGAGGCACAGTCCTTCTTGTGTTGCTTCTGACAGCAAACCAGCTGCCTCCCTCCTGCTCACCCCTCATGCAGTGCCATGGCTCAAGCTGATGTACAGCCAGCAATGGGTGATACCAGAAGCACAGCGTAACGCTTCATCCTTCCTGCTCTGATGGGAGCTGCACGAGTTATCTCACCCCTCAGAACATGTGATTCAGGGGGAATGATATTGTTTTGTCCCATTTCAGTGCAGGCAGCTGAAAATTGTCATTCACATGTAATAAATACTTACCCCTGGCCAACAGCTTTAGAAAGAAATTCTCAGCAGCAAACTGAAGCCCTAATTCAAGTCAGCAGCTTGGGTTATGTTTGGTTTTTTTACTGTAAGTTTAGCTAGTTTGTGACTCAAATCTCAGGTTTTACTCTATTGAAAAGTGCAGAAGATTTTGTCATTGTTTTGTTTTGTGGCTAGGATGTGACTTTAATTTCCTACAGCGGACTGTTGAAAATAGCACTGAAAACTACAGCCTTAATTAACTCGATCCTAAAAAGTGCAAAAGGCACAGAGAGGCAGCACCAGGAGTAACTGAACCCAGTGGCTGTGTTCATGCCGGGTGTACAAGATGCTGGAAGAAGAGGTAGTCCAGACAAGGTATAGGCTGACACCACACTGGAAAGCATGTCAGGTTGTGGTTATTCATTAAACGTACTGACACTTGTCTCTGTTTATGTATCAAGTGAAAGCAATTACATTACAACCATTTGCAGCATATACACACACTCCAGTGTGTGTATACGTACATATGTAAACAGTTTAGCAGTGCTCCTCTCAGCCAGATTTCAGTGAAAGCCTGTGTCTGATTTAACTGATTTAAATCAGTTAATGGGGGGCTAACACAAATCAATCCCTAGAGGCAGAACCTTCCTGTCCTTTGTGCTCCTTTTGCACATGCGTGTTCTCCCCGCTTCTCTCTGTACAGATACGTATGGTTGGGTTTTTTTGGTTAATCACCTCCTGAGGAACCAAGATCTGGTCGTGTGGCTCCTCGTGATTTCCAATAGGCTACAGTCATCGAATGAATCAAAGCTGTAGGCTCAGTATTGCTAGGGGAGAGGGTCCTGTAGGAGGAAGCCTTAACCCCATGTCCTGCCCAGGGTAGTGCCCTGTCTCCTGTCTGAACTCGTGTCCTGTACCTGAACAATGCTGGAAATGGTTTGTAGAAGTTTGGAAGGCGAAGTGGAGGATGTAAGGGAGAAATGTGTACATGTTCAGTATGAATATAATGTTCTTCGGTGTATGGCAGGCTGTTTAAATGGTTCAGAGCAATGTGAGTTTCTCATCTTGTTGTGTCATGAGCATTACCTGTATGTTATGATGAAATAAAATCAGAAATGGTACCTGTTTATACAGAATGGCTGAGGAAGGAGCCTGTGTGCCTCTGGCTGTGGAGCGTGCGTTACCTGCCTGCAGTACAACCTGCTCCCTGGCACCCAGGTCGAGCAGGGGGCTTTGACCTTACTGTACGTACTCTCTGTGGCTATGAGCCTGTTAATGAATGACACAGGTTGGGTGGCTTTGGACCACTTGTCGCAAGCAGTAGTGATTTTACAGCACAAGAACAGTGTAGGCCTTTTACCTGTTCCTGCTTACTCCACCTCTTCTGCTCACTCAAACAATAGTACTTGTCTGCATTAACACCCTACAGTGCCTCATACTGCTGTGAGTGAACTGTTCCCAATGCAGCAGGGCTAGTCTTTCTGAAGTATTTCAAATTGATTAAGTTACCTAGAGTGGATCCCGTGTTTTTTTCTTGCCTTCCATACTTCTTACTTGAAGAAAAAATTACTTCCTTGTTTAAAGACTTGTTTTGACTGATTCTGCCAGTCCTGAAGCATTCAGAGCGACTTCTGGTTGCTGGGGGAGGCGTATGCCCCTTATTGCATGTGCAATACTAGACCTTAAGTGGCAGCCTGTTAGTCTACAAAACAGGCTGACTTGACAGTCTTCTAAGATTTACCTCCTCAAGCTTCCCTCACGCTATTCCAAAGTCAGCTTTGATCCCAAGTAGGTCAGACTAGCTGTGTTTGTTCCCTCAAGTTCTGTCTTCTAAGGCATGCACTTCAGCTTTCATCACTCCTTCTTTTGCCTGCTTTGCATGACTTGCTCTGCTCTTGTTCCCTCCATCCCTCTGCCCTTGCCTCTGCCAGCAGACAGCTCTCTGAAGAGACAGTCTAACTCCATCTCCAGTCAAAACCTGAGAGGCAACTGGAATGCGTCTCATAGATGTCATCAGTATCTCATTTCCATTTCACTGACTGGCATTACTGGGAAGAGGCCTCTGAGGTCACTGCGCTCTTGATGTAACCATCCACAGTTACATTCCTAGAGGGAAATGGACTGAAAACAGGTCAAGCCTCCCCCAGCATGGATCACGGCACCCTACTTTTGAGGGGCTAAGAGATGCAAGAGTAGGACTGCAGTAATTCCATGAACTGCTGTTTGTACTAACTCTGTGTTCATTAGCCAGCTGCTTTGTATGCTTTGGCTGACAGCAGAAGTTATAAATTGATTTCTACCAGAACATGGTGGTGGCAAAGGCCAGAGCCATGGCTGGCGCTTCTCCTGGGGAAGGCAGTGGGCTCCTAATAAGGCTGTTACTGCCACTTTTCAAATCTGAAATTACTGAGATCCAGCCAAACTCACCTACATTGTAACCCCGCCTGAACTCCTAGCTACCCTGCACTTGTTAAAAGTTTCCGAGATAAAAGTAGAGCTTTTCTAGCACGTTCAGACATTACAGCATTATAGTACAGTATCACTACTACAGTATACACAGAAGACCACAGCTGGAAATTCAGGTAGAATAACAGCGTTCATAATGCATCATCAGAGCTGTTCTCCCTTCCGTGCCACCTTGCTGGGCATCAGGCTGTCCCGTGCAGGCTCACATTATGAAGAAGGTAGAACCTCACAGTAGCTGTTGAAAGCAAACCAAAAGCCCCCTGAGAAGTACCACAGACCAGCTGAAAAGAGGCTGAAAGTGCAAACTGACCCATTCAGTGATGGGTGAACAATCGGTAGGAGATGAGGAGCTGGCAGGGCAGAGGCCTGCTCAGGGACACCCAGCTCCATGTCCTTCTGCAAAAAATGCTGATGGCAAGCATCTGTGAGGACATGGTCTCTTTCTGACAGGAATATAAGCGGGAGGGGGTAAGAAATGAGGAATACTTTGCTTTGAGGAATACATTTAGCCTTCCTACTGAATGTTAGGAAAGCTGCTGGGTGCAGGCAAGGTCCAAGTGCCCTAACAACATAGGCAGGGAGTACCTCACACCACAAGTGCTTTGCACAGGAAAGCTGCAATCTTACCAAGTGTCTGAATCCATCAGTCCCAGATCCTCTTCTTTACTTCCACGAGGCTACCAGAACAGAAAAGGTAGGCAGGCAGCTGAACTACTGTCCCACTGCTGGTGAGGTACAAGCAACGCTGCACACATCATTTATTTAAACTGGACATCAGTGCCAAGCAGAATTCCAACAGCACCAAAATAAATCCCAACATTTACTTTCATTCTGGGACACAGGTTTCCTTACAGCCGCAGGGCAGCCGGAACCAGACTTGTGTGCAAAGCACTGAAGCTGTGACCTACCGCGCTGAACAGTGTGTAGAGCCCATAGACATCACAGCAAGAAGTGGGCTGTAAATGAACAACTGAGGCAACTGGAGAAACAGCACAAAAAAAGAGCAATCCCAAACGTTTTAATGCTGGAGCTGGAGAACATGCAGCACGTAGGAAGCTGGAAGCAGAGCAAGTCTGCACACAGGATAGCCACCCATCAACCAAGGACTGCTCAGCCAGAAGGCTGGAGATCGAAATATATCCTGGCAGCTTGGGAATGGGAGACATATCACCATAGTACCTCAGGAAACCAGTGGCACACAGTCTGAGAGAGGAGTGGCTCATGCAGTGACTGGGCCTGTGAAAATATGTCTTTCTACTCTTTCTGTGTAAAAGCTTAGAGGAGGTGAAAATACACTTTAACTATTTAAATATATTTAAATATATTTAATTTTAAATACATATATTAAAAAAAACCCACAACATTATTTTCTGTCCCCTTCAGCAGATCTTCACAGAAATTGCCCTGCAGGTAGTTGGCACGTTAGCACCCTGTCAATGCATTAAATTACAAAAACAATGGAACAAAAACAACAAACCTGCGCCTGTAGCACACTCACCAGTGTAGGACACAAGCAGCACCAGTGGCAGCACAAAGCAGGGGTCACAACAGCAGAGTCAGGGGAGGAATCAAAGCAGATCAGGCCAGCAGGGAACAACAGACCCAGAGACTCGCCCTGTTCTCCAGCTTCTCAGAAGGTTGCATACCAAGAAGCTTAGCCCGTACCTGTACCACACACCACCTCCAAAAGTAGAACCGGGCAGAGAATGTTTGTTTTCAGTGGAGCACACCAGATTATTCTGTTTATAGCACTAACTTCATGGGAGAAATAACAGCTAGTACATTGAGAGATAACCTGAGGCCTTCTCCAAGAGCATTTGGCTTAGAAAAGGAAATTCATAAGCAGAAAGGTAATTCCAGTCACAGCTCAAATCTGCTAAACAGCAAAAAAGGGAGCAAAGCAACAACTTCACCTTGAGCATTGCCTGCCTCTGAGATGAATCTGAAAGCAGCGTGCAGAGCAAAGCAAACAAGGAGCAGCCAAGCAACAAACAGCAGCTCAAAAGGACATGGCAGGAAATGTCTTCCCCTCAGTGAGAGGGCCAAAGACTTACAGTTAATGAAGCCACAGACAATGTTTTAAATAAATCTGTAAACCATGTTTTGAGAACAATTAGAGGGTGCACGCTCTCTTACAGTACCCAATACAAGAGACTATCACCTGTGGAATGAAGGTGATGACCTCTGTGCTTTGGAAGAGATTGGCCTTCACATTTCAGCTCTAGTTAATTTCTTTCTAGTTAATCTATCATGTTGTTCACAACCTACCCTTGCTGTGCAGAAAGCTTTAGCTGGGCGGCCAAGTAGCATAGCCACAAGCTTGCAGGCCAGTGTTCATAGGAAGAAGTGCTTTCTCCCATTATCAGCCCACTGCCTGGGTGTTCTATAGCAAATGAGGAAGGAGCTGACTTGCTGCCTTCGTGCCTGCAGTCTTCAGACAGGAATACAATTCACTTGCCCTCATTAGCACCACAGTGCTTTGATCTGATACTTAATAGCATGAGGCCAAATGTGTAGAAGCTTTACAGGAGAGAGCACTGCAGCCTAACCCCTGCCTGGAGATCCAATATCGGGATCTTCCCACCAGTATAGGCTTCTAGCACACCAGGGTGTGGGATATCCATGATCCCGTCTGGCAGACGGGTGAATGTCGTGCATTCTAAACTTCCAGACGGCATCATCTGGATGAGGAGGACAAAACCGCCTGCAGCTGCTATTTAAAGCTGCTGAATATTCTGGTGTGTCTGATGGCGGGAGGCAGAGGCTGCTCCATGATGGACAATGAGGACCTGTATGGGCATGGCCACGACGAGCAGGTTTTCTTGGGTTGTTAAGTCTCACGTGAGCCTTTAACAAATCGAGTGTGAAATACTGCAGGACGCCTGAGCAAGGATCCCACGTTCTATCCTGTACAACATACAGCATATGTCTATGTATACACGCCTGTGTAACAACTCCAGGGTGGAGGCAGCAGACAAGAAGGCCCACTCTGCTGCCTTTACTAGAAAATCTCCAGCCAAGTTCCTTACTCTCTCTGACACAGTCAGTCACTCTTCCCAGGGCATCATTCCAGAGGGATTCATTTCTACAAGACTCTGCTTTCAGACAGTGCGCAGCATGTCCTGAGGTTCAATTACTGCTATGGTTCAGATATGTACCTCAGTTGCCTGCAATCTGTATCCCAGAAAACCACTCCAGGCTACATGGACTTTGGGAATGCAACTAAAGAACAGCCTGTTGCTTCCTGCCACCAGGTAATAATTAATACCATCAAAAACTTACTATGCTCTTACTCCAAATTGCCTAGAGACAATCTTTTGCTGCTAAGTACTCTTAAGTACTAAGAGGTACTGAAGCAAGTTGCCTTTGGCAATCACCTGGTCTTGTGTTGTCCTAGAAGATGGACTGTCACTGACTCCCAAATAGGGCTGCCCTCACCACTGGAACTGTGCTCCTGACATACGCCCAAACCATACATGGGGTTCTTGGGCATGCTTTTGCCTCTCACCAGCAACAGCATTCCAGGACTAACACTAACACACACAAACCTATCCCTGACCCAGCAAACCAAGTGGTCCACCCTTCTGGTTACATGCTCTTTCTGCTGCAGACAAGAGCTGCCACGCAATGGTGAAACAGGCTGATAAACCCCAGTTCTAGAGCTGCAAGTATTTTTACAGCAGTATTTTACAGCAAGTATTTTTACCCTCCAAAGCTCAGAGAGGTGCTGCAAATCACCTGCAGCCAGTACACCAGTGGCAAGCTTGGCAACCATCCTGTCTCCTACAGGCCAGCCCAGCACCCAGGGGGCATGGACACTCTGCCTGCCTTCCTTCAGGGCCCTCATCCTGGGAGAAGGGAAGAACGCCCTGTTGCCTTTGGAGCAGTTTGCTGAGCGCAGTCCCAAAGAGCAAGGTGGTTTCAGTCATTAAACACCACGCCTGGGCAAGCTCTCAGTGCAACAGCAGCTAAGCCAAAGCAAGGGCCAAAAGGCCTTCTTTTGTGTCTCCTCCTTCCAACTCCATACACTTGAAGGTAAACAACTGCATCCCTCTGGTAGAAAAGACAGCACCAAGACAACTCTCGTGTCCCAATAAAGAGAGACACCTCGTGTCTAACTTTGGATGCAAAATGTGCTCATCTGGTGAGTGCCAGTGCCTGTCAGAACCACTGTGCAAGGTGAAGAACACAAAATGCCAGCAGCTGGGGCACAGGGACATTACTAGGGCAAGGGGGAGAGGAAAACTAAAGCTTGCTTAACATTAACAGACATACATATCTGTAACAGTTGTTCCTTTACAGCCTCATAAATTAATGAGTCCAAAAAAACAGGAGCCTTGAGGAGGACATGCCAAACCCCTGCTGTGCAAGCCATGTTAATTATGATAATAGGCATATTTTAATAAGCCAGTCCCTAGCTCCTGTACTTTCACCTATAACACACACACACACATTTCCTAGGCCAGGGGATACCAAAAATACCTGCCAGCCATCTAATGGTCTAAACCCCAGTGGACAAAACCCATGTCAGAGTGTTTGTCACACCCCGTGTCCCTTTGAATTTTCCTAGTAAAAAAAAAAATCAGGTGAAAGAAAACTCCTCATCTGTAAACCCCTATCTCGTCACAGCAGTGGAACCGGGTGGCAGCAGTGGAGGAGACAGGAGGGCGAGAGGAGAGAGATGAAGGGATGGTAAATCATCTCCTCCAGACGACAGGGCCGGGGGGGCTCCTGCATTCCTGGCTGTGCAGTTCTGGCAGCTGGCGCTGCTCTTCCTCCAATGCCCTGGCAGAGAGTCCGGCAGCAGTGCCGTGAGCCCCAAACATCTGCCATCCAGCCCGCTGAAGTGTGTCTGTGCTGAACACTGGAGCCTGGAAGGTGAGGAGGACAACGGGAGCCTGACGGATCAGCTAAGACTTCAGCTCCCGCTCCAGTTTCATGCTGAAGGGCTCCAGCCTCTCACTCTCCGGTAGCATGCTGTTCAGCCGCTCCATCAGCGGGATCGTCTGGTCGATGCCCATCTGTATACGGCGGAGGATGGCAGACATTTCATTGACCTTCTGGATCTGCTCTGCATACTTGGCATACTTCTTCTGGCGCTCCTGCATGAGGCCATAAAGGGTTTCCACGGAGCAGTCCATCTGTTTAAAAACAATAAGTAGAGCGAGGCGCATTAGGCCAACTGTTAGCACAGGCCCTTCTGAAAAGCATCTTCCCTAAGAGCATCTGAGAAGCACCTTAAATACCCTACTGGAGATACCAGCCAGGTAGAAAGGAGTTCCTGTGTAGCTACATAACGAGTTTGTCATGAAATGGGATAATTCACAGCTGTATACTAGGGAAGGTAAATGACCACCTGAGTTCTACATCCAAACACTGAGAAAATTCTGTATTCACAGGGCTGAAAGCCAACAGGCACTGGCAGGGATATCCCAAATAAACCATCTGCATGTTCTCCAAGTTATCCAAACCCAGGGAGCTCATAGCCTCTGCCTACACCCGTAGTATATTTTCAGTGGAGACTGTTCATTTGCAAGTGTTAAGCTCTACCATACTTGCCAGACCTAATTTCTTCAGCTTAGCAAGGTTGCTCTGCAACTGAGCCACAGCTGTTATTACCATTATCACCTGGAAAACTCCTGCCTTGAGAGAGAACCACAATGGATTACTAGCATCCCTAATTTCCCCGAATCCTAAAAATAGAAGTGTTATGAGTGGCCCCAGGAGAGACATAAAGTGAATCAGCCATGCAATTAAACACAGTAAGTACCCAAACATGGCTGGAGCATGGTGACAATGACAGGAACTGCAGTGCTATTCCTGCCACTGAGTGACGAAGGCAGCCTTTATAATTCACAGCCCAACTTTCTCTTCAGACAGATCTGCAAACTTCAGGCAGGATAGCACTGTATGCACACGAGCCAGGTCAGACTGTTTCAGCTGTGTTACACTCTGTAAGACATGCTATGTCTTACAGAGTGCTTGGTAACAGGACTGCTCCAAGCCCTCAAGTGCACACCCGAAGCTTGGGTGCTCTGGATCACTGTAGCTGTGCTCAATGAGTGCAGTTACTTCAGTATGCTGGCTGTTCAAATTGAACAATGAGCATGCATCCTGCAAACATACTCTGTCCCCATGGAAAGCAGTACCCTCACCTGGGACTTGGTGCTTGCCCATAGTGGCTGCCGAGATAACGGCAGGAGTGGACACACACTGAGCAGTTGCCTCCCTCTTACCACTGTTTTTCTGAACCTCTGCCATCCAATTACCTCCAGAGGAAGGAGGTCATGGCTTGTGATGAAGCAGCCTCAGGGAATCAGTGCTGAGAACTCCTGGTCTACCAGGAAGCCCAGGCCAAATAACATCCCTCACTGGCAGTCAAACCATTTGGTGGAGGACAGCAACTGTACCTGTCATCAGGGACAACACCACTTTATCAGTGCAGTGCTAAAAACCAAGCCGTGCTGACCAGATCTGACTTACTTTGTACTTAATCAGCAAGCGTAATCCTGACCCAGTGTGCAGTGGTGACAAGCTGCAGAGGAGAGCCTGCAGCAAGGGAAGGATTGGGTGGAAAAGATGCAAAGCTGGAAGGGGCATCCTCCACTGAGCAGGGAAGTCCCACCAAACCGAGCACTGCCATCCCACTGGCAGCAGCAGGGTATAGCACTGGGGCAAAAGCTGAGGGAGTTGTGTTTGCTCCCTTTCAAGCCCTGGGGAAGAGTTCAAGTAAAAATAGTCAGGCAAGAAAGTATTTTATTGAGAAACCTAAGTTACAAACAGCATTGAAAACAAACACACAAGTTTCCGCTCAACTGTCATGGGGATTTAGAAGGCATTTTTTTCCGCCTATCACCTCCATCAGAGCTGGATACAGCACTAATCAACCTCCTATTTCGTCTGTACTTTCTAGTGCTCTCAGGCAGATTTCTTCCTCTTTGCCTCTGTGCTTTCCTGTGAATTCCTCCCTCCACGCTTTCATGCACGGGACAAAATAAAAACCAGCCGAGCAGGAAACTCCAAATAGAGTAGAAACAATTTAAGCCTACACAGGGGTTTCTATTAAAACCCCAGCTTAATAATTTAGTAGCTTGGTGCTAGCTCTGTAAATTGGAGTGTGTAAAAGCAGACCACCACCAGGTCTGTATGGGATGGAAGTAAATTCAACCCAGTGCCTAAAAACATCCCACCTAATGAGAGACAGTGGTGTGGAGTGGCAGCCAGTAGGAAACCTGCCAAAAGCCAGCATGCCTCATTAAACTGAGCAGCATGGCACCCAAGCAGAAACCTCCTCTGGTGCTGAAGTTCTCCTCCACAGGCAGGTTCTCCACGTGGCCTCAGCACAATAGGCAAAGCTCACACCCACCAAGCTCTGCAACAAAAAGATACAAAGGCCCCCTTTTCTCTCTATTCCAATAAATTCCATCTGTTGACTCTTTGGCTCCATATGTAAATACCAGTAACATCCACTTACTGAAGTGGAAGCTGAAGCTGACCTGCAAAAGGAGGAAGAAAGGCAGAGTGGCCTTCCAAGTTCTCAGCTACTTCTGGACACATTCACAATGGTTGTAAAAAAAGCTGCCTCACAAAAAAGAGAAAGGGTGGAAGTGAGTGCTTCCTATGGTTTCCCTACACCTAGTGTTCAAGTTTGCCAGCTGTGGGAGGCCACAGCAGCTGCACAGCCAGAGCCATGACAGAGGACTGAAACTGAGTAACTGTGAGGAAAAGTCAACTTTTACTCAGTCTGAACCTGGTGTTTTTAACTAACAAATTAAAAAAACCCTCTGCATGTTAACGCCTGTATAGAAATGCCAATGCCTCTTTGCAGCTTTCCCTGGAGCTGGCCTAAATACACACTTACATCCTTCCTGCCCCCTCCCCTCCAAGCAATCTCCAGTGCCAGACCTTGTGCTTTTACCTCTCCTGGCATGCAGACTCATTCCTCTGGCACTCAGACAAGGCCTTCAGTTGCAGGCCTCAGAGAGCCAGTGCTATTTGTCCACCACAGAGACTAAAACTGTCCTTTAGGAATCACTGTTCTGCAGTGAACAGGGAACACACATAAGAATCCGCTTAATTCCCATCTATTTAATTCCAAGCAGTAGCAGTAAAAAGCACCCAGAGAAAGGGAGCTTAGGCAGAGTCTGCACCCTTGCCTACAGCCAAGGAAGTCCATGCTTTTCAAGGCACCCTTGAGAGTCAGATGAGTGAATTTGCCTTCTCTGAGCAGCTTGTGTCAACTCCTCCCTGATGTGAGGCCCTGCCATGTTCTCTTCTGGAAAACACTCGGGTCTCAGCCTTCTTGCCCACCCCTGCCTGAGAAGCTCTCTGGGAAGCCCTATACCCATCTTTCAGTGCCCTGTACCCATCTGCAAGTGGGTACAAGCCACTGTTTCTGTTCTGCTTGCCTCCAGCTTCTCTATAGAGGCAAGCTACTGTTTCTGTTCTGCTTGCCTCCAGCTTGCTACTATGCCAGGCCACCACAGCTGCAGACAACTCCCCCATCAGCAGGTCACCACCCTGCACCCATAAACTGTGACAGATGAGGAGCTGTGCTGTCACCAGGCCCTCAATGACTTCACCACTGAGGCTTCACCATCACCAATTTCTTCTTCAAGCATCACCACTGAGAAATCTATCATTGTCCCCAACTTACAGAGGAGTTCAGAGAGTTGAAAGACATGACCTGAAATCTGTTAAGAACAGAAGCAGAGGGCAGAGCCCAGGAAGTAAAGTCAGGGTCGTAATTCTCATCAAAGCAAGAGGTTCTGCCCAGCCTGATCTTGGAGAAAAAAGACATGTTCTCAGTGATGGGGTGAGACCTCCCATTGCACATTTTCTTTCTTTCCAAAAACAGATCCTCCTTTTTCAGCAGCAAACCCAAGGCTGGACATGCCCAGAGCAGATGACAAGATATTTTTCCCTTCTGACATCAAAAAGGATGGAAGAGTTTTTTCAGTTTTACTTCTAGTATAGTATCATAAAAACAGACAGGCTGAAACTCACCTTCCAGCCTGACACACTTTTTTTGTACAGCCAGTGACATTCAGTATTTGGGTCTGTTCCTGTTTCAAAGCTCCTCCATAGATCAGTAGCAGCAGGACACTAATTTATGCTTCAGCTTCATGTTTTAAACATTAAACGACATCTACTGGTCTTTCCTTTCTTCAAATGAAAACAGATTCACAATTACTTCCTACAATAGGGCAAGATGGCTATTCCCCCACTTGAATGGGCCCCAGCACAGCCTCTCCTGCTACACCATTCCATGGTCAACCAGTAAGGACTTGCAGACTCTCCCCTGCATTACACACGCCCATTTGATGAAACACAAAAACAACTGAGGGTACTTTGAGACATCTTGCACACCACAAATTCTTGCATTCATTTTTGAATTCTTCTTGGCCCACACTGCCAAGCAGAATAAAGACATTAATTTAGTCACAAAAAGACTGAGGTCAGCACCGGACACTGCCCAGTTCCTTTCTAGAGACCACACTGAAAACAAACCAGTCAGTGCCCTGTATATACCTCTTACCTGGTGTGGTTTTATAGCACCTCCGTCATGGGCATGCTCTCAGCATGCCCAGTGTCCTAAGCTCTCAGAAACAGAGGTAACATCTCATTAGTTCAATGACTGAGACTGAAAACTGCAGCTAGACATATCTTCCTTGGTTGCAGAACATACAAATGCAATCAGAAGTTCATTAAACTTGGAATCAAATTGCTAGAGAGGCACTGCTGACATTCGTAACAAAACAAATACGTAACAAAACATAAGAGGAAGCTCTGTCATTCCCAGCTTCTCTACTCTCTCCTTAAAATGCCAACAGGCAAGATGATGTTTTGTTTCCCCCCAACTCAGCAACAGCCTTCAAGAGCTCAGCTAGACATCCATTTGTGCTGTGTCCCTCTGCTGTCAACTCCCATCCCCTATGGCTGCCACTCAAAAAACCACAGCAATTAAGGCACAAACCTTACTCCAGAAAGTTCACTTGCTAGAACAGCACCCCGAGCACAAGCAGCCTTTCCCTTCATGTTGTCAGGTGCCTGGCTGGGGTTAAATGGACTCCTTCCTGCAGCTGCACAAAAAAACCACATCAGAAAGTGACAGGCAGGAACATGACTGCATGGAATATTA